GAATCAAACAAAATAATAATAATAATAAGAAAAAAAAAAAAAAAAAAAGGTAGTTTTTTTTTTCATACCTGATAAGTTGAATTGCATGAAATTATACTTACCATTTCTTTATTCAAGAACCTTGAATTATGACCAGAAATGTGGTCAAAAAAAAAGTTAGCTTTTCTTATACCTGATAAGCAAAAGTGTGCAAAACCACACTTATCATTTTCTTTATCTAGAAACAGAGTACAATTAACAAAAAAGTTGGGAGTTTTTTTTTTCTTTTCATATCTGGTAATTTTAATTGTTTAAACAACACAAACCATATCTACTATTTTTTTTGCTTAGAGACATCGAATTGATCAGGAATGTGATCAACAAAAAAAAAAGTTTGGTCTTTTTTTCTTATCTGACAATTTAAATTGTGTAAAAATCAAGCTTATTATCTTCTTTACTTAGAGGAATTTGAATTACATCTGGAAATGATAAAAAAAAAAGGTTAGTTTTTTCTTTCATACTTAGTAGTTTGAATTATTCAAAACCAAAATACTTACTACTTTTATTTCTGTATTACCACTTTCATTACTTAAAGATTTTGAACTATAACTAGGACTATGATCAAAAAAAAGAAGTTAGTTTTTTTTTCACTCAGTATTTTAAATTTTACAAAATTATGCTTATCATTCTCTTTGCTTAGGAACCTTAAATTACGACTGAGAACATGACCAAAAAAAAAAATGTAGTTTTTTTTTCATACCTTAGAATTTGAATTGTTCAAAATTATACTTATTATTACTACACTTTTATTACTCAGAGACATCGAATTATAACTGAGAATTGTGATAAAAAAAAAGGTTAGTTTTTTTTTCATACTTGTAATTTAAATTGCGCAAAAACATCCTTATTATCTTCTTTATTCAGGGACCTTAAATTATAACTAGGAACATGATCAACAAAAAAAGTTAGATTTTTTTTTATACTTCGTAATTTGAATTGTTTAAAATCATGCTTATCACTTTTATTACTATTACAAGGATCTCAAATATGACCAGGAATGTGATTAAAAAAAAAAGATAGTTTTTTTATACCTGGTAATTCTGTAATTTGAATTGTTCTACTTTATTTACTCAAGATCTCGAATTAGGACTGGGAACATGGTCAAAAAAAATTTTTAGTTCCTTCATACTTAGTAGTCTGAATTATGCAAAAGGACTGAGAATACAATCAAAAAAGGTTGGTAATTTGAAATGTTTAAATTGTTCAAAACCATGCTTACTATTTTCTATACTCAGTGACCTCAAATTATAACCGAATGGGTGGTATTCAAATAAAAAAATAATAACAATAAAAAAATAAAATAAAAATAATAAAAATAAAAAAATAAAAATAAAAATAAAAATTTAAAAAAAAGTCAAAAAAAAGTTTATACTATTCTTATTACAACTAGTAGAGTCTTTAATAACATAGCATTTAGGGAAAAGGTCAGTTTTTTATAATTCAGTATTTTAAATATAATTATACTTACTATTTGTTAGTAAGGTAATATGGCTTAAAGAACTGGAAGTGCATCATGGCCGTGGACTTGTTTGTGAATGTTCTTTTTTGTTAACATCACCCAAAATTGTTCTTATCATGCTTTGATTAGATCATTAAAAATATTGGTTTTTTTTTTGTATTTGGTAATTTAAATTGTATAAAACAACTATATTTACCAATTTTTTTACTCAGGGAACTCGAATTACAACCGAGTACTACTATTAAAAAAAAGAAAAAATAAAAATAAAAAAATTTTTTTTTACTTATTGCTAGTCTGCTTTTTTTTTTTTCATTTTAAATATTTCATAACGAAATGCTAGAAAGTGTACTGAGAAGAGGTCTTGTATATGTGACATTTAAAAAAAAAAGATTAGTCTTTTATAATCAAATATTTTAAATATGAAGACTATATTTACTATTTGTTACTAAACAATATGGCTCAAAGAACTGGAAGTGCTTCGTAGCCACAGGCTTGCCTGTGAATATTCTTCTCTGTTGGCATTGTCTGAAATCCAGTTTCAATCAGATTATTTAAAATGTTAGTTTTTTTTTTTTTTATTACACATAGGGTTAGATTAGATACTGTCAATTGCTAATTTTTTAGGTTTCTGATTCTAACTACAAAATTAGATGAAATCATATATGATGTTAAATTAAAAAACTACTTTTTTTGAAAATTACGTTAATCTTAAATTTCAGCTAAGGAATTATCACAATTTTTAGCAAATGGTACTCTCAAATAGTAAATTAGAAACACTATTAAGAATATGAGACCCAGAGTATTATTTGCCAAAAATTCCTTACAAAATTTTAGTTAACAAATGTAAATAACTCTAACAATCAGAAACCTAGAAGAAATGATTTTTTACAAATGGGTTTTCAAATTTTCAGGTCAGATGCATCAGATTTAGGATAGCAGTTAGCCTAGTGTTTAGCATGTTCTATAGCAAAATTACCAGCTAGATATTTTTTACTTAATAAATAACTATGATTTCATTAGTAAAATTTTCAGTGATGTGCAAAATTGATCAATTCTGATCCAGCTGACCAGAATTCTGATGCACTCCGACCCAGAATTTAAATCAGCTTATTCATTATACTCTTAAGAGTTTGCCAAATAAGCTGATTTAAGCTGGCTTATTTGAAGGGATGTTTAAAGCCGTATTCAGTCATATGTTTTTAATTTTTTAATTAAAGTTAGGGTAAGGGTCAGTTTGAGGTTAATATTAGGGCAAGTTATATAGTAAAATTGCCCTTCTGACATTTTTTATTAATGCACTGAGATGGGTTTAGATTGTCATTTCTTGTATTTTTTGCATTTATTGGTTTTTTTTCTCTGTTTTGTCTCTTCAGGCTAATCTGGATCAATCAAAATAAATCTTGCGATTGATTTGTTAAGCAAATAAATAAATTTAATATTGTTTTGTTTACATTTTTTTTATCAGTTAATCATGCCTGCTATTCTAAAGATTCCTAAAACAATAAAAGAATACCAGTCTATTGTTGCTTATCTTCAGTCGAAGACTATTCCTTTGAACATTTAAGGTCCTAAGGTGAAATATAAGTTTGAGAAGTGTTGTAAAAGATTTGAGTCAGATGATGAAGCTCTTTACGTTTTTGCTATTTATAAAAATAGAAAAATTAAGCATAATAGGCATTGTGTAGTTCCCAAATATGATATGGAATTACATGCTTTATTGTTAGAACATTTTCATGATAATGCTAATTACTGTAGTTACTATAGTACATATTCTGCACTTTTTGAAAAACATATCAGAATTGTACAAGTAGAAGTGCAAGAATATGTTAACAGGTGTCCTACATATGCTGTTAATATTTCTATTAAAGAAAAAACAGACATGAAATCAGTTATTTCAGTAGCACTGTAGCAACACATTCAAATAGATCTTAACGATTTTTAAGATTATGCTAAAGTAAGCTTTGACTCTAAACTCTGATTCTAATTCTAACTCTAAAAAACCTAACCTCTAACCTTTAAAATTTGATTTTATATTTAAACCCTATAGATAAATTACAAATATGCATAGTTGTTAACATGTGTTTGCATATTTTTCAAATATCTTATTGCAATTTCTATAAAAAATAAAGAGGCTAATATGGTTGTAATACATCTTGTTTAAAATGTCTTTAAAATTTTTGGACCTCCTGTTATTCTTCAGAGTAATAATGACAAAGAATTTGTAGCAAATATTGTTGAGCTGGTTTGTGGGATTCTTAAAATTAAAATTAAACATGAGTGTTCTTGTCATCCACAAACCTAAGATCAAGTCGAATGCCTCAACCAAATGATTGGTCATGGCTTCACAAAACTGCTGTGGGACAATCAAAATAAAATACAGCAAAAAGATTGGATTAATGTTGTAGACACTTTTGTTATATCATACAACTCAACTGTTCATAAAGCACATAGTCATACACCTTATGAAATTATGTTCAGGTGGAAAATGCATGGTGTATATGATTTGCCTGAAGCTATCCAATCAAATGAACCAATTTTACTAGATAATGCTAATGATAAAAACTTAAAAAATGATGTAGAGCAACATATAGAACAAGTGTCACAAACTCAACAGTTAGTAACCAATTTGCTAGAAAAATATCAGAAGAAAATGTGTTTATATGGTAGTGTTCATTGCAAAAAAACAAAAAATAATACAATTTAACCTGAAACTGCAGTTTTCGTTGCACCTGACCATGATACAAATGTTCAAACATGAAAGCGAAAATTAAAGCTGGTATTTTTTCTGCAAGGAATTTTTAAATGATTGGCATCAAACAATCATACTGTGATCATTGAAATTGAGTGAAAAGACATACCGGTACTGATTGAAAGAATTAAAGTTGTATAATATGGTTTTAAAAAGTTTTTTTGTTTTTTTTTTGATTTTTTAAAATTTTTTCGAAATTTTTTTTTTTGATTTTTTGAAATTTTTTCGGATTTTTTTTTTTAATTTTTCGAAATTTTTTCGGAATTTTTTTTTTTTTTTTGATTTTTTGAATTTGAATTTATTTTAATTTTTTTTAAATTTTTATAAATTTTTTAAATTTGTATGCATAGTTGGTTTTAGCCTTCAATGCAGTGTCAAATAAATGTAGATTTTTTTATTTTAAATTGTAAATAAAATGCCTTTACATATAACTATAAATATAAAAGTGATAATTGAAAGAATGCCCATGTTCTTTCATAATTCAAGGTTGCAATTCATATTACTAGTTATAAAGAAAAAGAAAAATATTTTTGATCACATTTTAGATTAGAGTTTGAGATTCCTAAATATTGAAGGTTTTGAACAATTCAGATCACCAAGTATGAAAAAAAAACTTTTTTGATCATGTTCCATCATAATTCAAGATCTTTGATTGAATGAATAAAATGATCTTGTGCAATTTAAATTACTGATATAAAAAAAACAACCTTTTATTAATCACAATTTACAGTTATAGTTTGAGATTTCTAAGTAATGAAAGTGGTAGTAGGCCTCTTTATGAGCTGGCCCATAGGCTTTTTCTGAAGTTAATTTGGGCTATTACCAAAAGATTCTGGTTACATCATGTAATCAGCATTTTGGAAGGTGGCCTAAATTAAGTTTAGAAAAAGCCTATGAGCCAGCCTATGCGGAGGCCTAGGTGGTAATAATAAAAAAAGCATGGTTTTGAATATTGCAAATTACCAGGTATAAAAAAGAATAAAAAAATAAAAAAATTTGACTATAATTTCTGATCATAATTCAAGGTCCCTAAGTAAAGATGATTTTGTACAATTTTAATTATCAGATATGAAAAAAACTAACTTTTTTTTTACAACTCCCAGTTCAGTTATAATTTCAGGTTCCTGAGTAATAAAAATATAGTAAGTATGGCTTTGAACAATTCAAATCACCAGCATGAAAAGAAGACTAACTTTTTTTTTATCACTCGGTCGTAATTTAAGGTTCCTAAGTAACAGTAGTATGTATAATTTTGTATAATATAAAATGTCAGATATGAAAAAAAAACCTTTTTTTTTTGGTTACAATTCCTGGTTATAGTGTGGTATAGTTTTTTGAACTTTACTAATAAGATATGAAAAAAACTTTTTTTTTGATCATGCTCTGGTCATAATATATAGATAAAACTAAATTTTTTTTTTAATCATGCTCCCAGACGTAATTCAAGGTTTCTGAATAAAAGAATAGTAGCAGGTATAATTTGGTGCAATTTCTAATTTAAAATACCAGTTTTGAAAAAAAAACTAACTTTTTTTTTAATCATGATTCATATAGTTTTAAACAATTCAACTAACCAGGTATAAAAAAAAAAATTTTTTTTATTATATCCTCAGTCATAATTCAAGGCCCTGAATAGTTTGGTGCAATTTGAAATACTAGCTATAAAAAAAAAACTCAAATTTTTTTTTTTTATTTTTAATTACGATTCCTAGTTATTCTTTGATTTTAGATAGCATTCTTACAAAAAATTGTTCACCTCTTGTAATTTTGACCAGTCAAAATTTATGATCAGACGTAACATGATGGTCAAAATTAAAGCTAAGAAAACCATGTTAATATTAGAATTAGAGTTAGAAAAATATAATGGCTACTAGTAAAATTTCATAAAAAACATTTTTAATTGGGACACAGAAGGTAGTTCTTTAATTAAAATTTAGAGCTTGTTTTTTTTGTAAAAAAGTAGATTCATTTCGATTTTTATGCTACACCTGATCTTGAAATCTGATTGGTCAAAATTACAAGGGGTGAACAATTTTTTGTGAAAGAGTTAGGGTGTTCATAATAGTGGTAGATGGTAAGTATAGATTTGAAAAAAAAACAATTTTTTTTTGATCGTATTCTCAGTCATAATTAAGGCTCTAATAAAAAAAATGATATGATTTGGTGCAATTTGAAATACTAACTGAAAAAAAACCCAACTTTTTTTCTTTTGTTGATTATAGTTCCTAGCAATAGTTCATGATATTTGAGTAATGAAGGTGGTATAGTTTTGAATAATTAAATCATCAGATATAAAAAAAGAATAGTATGATTTTGCACAGTTTAAAATACCAGTTATGAAAAAAACTTTTTTTTTTAATCATAATTCTGTATTATAGTTCGAGATCTCTGAGTAATGAAGGTAATAAGTATAGCCTTGAACAATTCCAATAATCAGGTATAAAAAAAAAGAAAGACTAACTTTATTTTTTTGATCATGTTTTAGTTATAATACAAGGTTCCTAAGCAAAGAAAATAGTATGATTTTGTGCAATTTAAAATAACATATAAAAAAAGACCACAACTTTTTTTTTTGATTATGATTCTTTGAGGTCTCTGAGGAATGAGTTTAAACAATTCAAATCACCAGCTATAAAAAAAAAAACTTGCATAATTCACAATTTAAATTATTATAAAAAAACTCACCTTTTTTTAAATAACAAATCCCGGTCATAGTTCGGTAATGAAAATGTAGTTTTGAATTTTTCAAAACACCAAATATTAAAAAAAATTTTATTTGGTCTGTAATGAAATGTATGATTTTGCTAAGAGCAGGTTTAAAAAAAAAAAACTACTATACAGTGCTGCATATAGTACTCCAGGTATTTTCTAGAAAGCTGACCTAGATTGAATAATACCTCCAAATATTGGAAGATGCGAGAATAATACAAATCATTGTTACTAATCAATATATATCTTGCTATTAGACATATTAAACCCAATGAAAAGATCACACTATAATTATGAAAATTAAACTATAAATTGCTTGTCAACAAAAGGATACTAGATTGACATACCTTATTTAATGCACCTTATATGATCAGTTATTGATACACCTTATTTGATGCACCTTATATATATATGATGATCACTGATCATTAGGATGATCAGTGATTATCACATAAATTTCCAGCATTAGCCAATCTCAGCATAAGCCACCACAATTATTTTTTAAAAAATTTTGTATAATTTTAAATTAATTTAAATATTTTAAAATTATTTAAGTATATTGAAATATTTCAAATTATTTTTAAGTTTTTAAATTATTTTAAATTTTTTTATAAAATATAATATTTTATTTTTTATAATATATTGTTATAGAAAGTAATCCAAAAGATGCAAATTACTAACTCTTTCTAATAATCATTTGTATCAAATTTTTGCTGCAAACATTTATTCTTATTTAATATTTTTTTTTTTTTGGTATTAAGATGACCTCTTTGGTTTTTTGATTTTTATTAATCACTTATCGGTATTGTGGTTCAATGAACTACTACAGGAGAGTGTACAATTAGCTACATGTATAACTTTTCTATATTACCTATTTAAGGAGTCTGCCCGAAGGTTCCCTACCAATTGCCATACCTAACACTCCTGCTTGGGTGTTCCACTTTAAACCCTTTGAACCTATAATCTGTGTTAATATCACTGGTCATCTCAGATGTACCAGATCATTATCCTCAACTTTAGGACTAATTTATCCTTAAGATAAACCTTCCAGAGCCTTCTGTACTCATTTTTATAGCTGACCTAGGTATCACTATAACAGAACCAACACTTGCAGTCAGGGCTGACTATTAAACCACTATGCCCTTGTAGAGTTCACACAAACCTCAGCATTTACTTCACAGCATATCCAAAATACTTTAGTATACCCTTGCCAGTTCACCAGACTTTCAATTCAGATAGCCCAATAGGACTTACAATTAGTCTATTGATATATCAGGTCAGCCTGATATTCTTTTTTTTTAGCTTGATACGGTGGCCTGGTTGGTAGTACCCCCTATCTAGAGGTTTTTGCCTGTTCAGCTACTTCAATCTTGGTATCCGTTTCATAAGGCTAGCCTTTACAATAGGGCCATCGAAGATCTGGCTATCTCTTTACTCGAGTCTTCCCAAATGGACTTCTTGTTATCCAATTTCAACAGATTTATACAGCCACAAGGACTTATCTAGTATTTGTACCACCTATTGCCAGTTTGCATTCCTTCGTGTAACCACAACCTTGTCCCAAGAGATAATGTCATGTAATCTGTTATGCGAATGCCCCGTGACCTACCAGTCATGCTGGTGCAACCACCATTACAGGTATCCTAACCTAATCATTAGTAACAGTTGCCGTAATATGAATATTACATAGGTGATTATCCAAATTTTCGCCATTGATGGGATTTGAACACCCAACCTACCACTTGGAG